CCCGCGCCTTCCCCCGCAGCTGGGGAGGCCCGGCCGCCGCGGACACGTTGGGTGTTGCCCTGTTGGAGAGGCCGGGCCCAGCCCTCCTGCCCCGCTCTGGTGCGGGACGGGCAGGCAGATATTTGTAAACAAGGCCGCGGAGGCTGTGACGAGCCGGGACTGTTGCCCAACAGGCCGGGGGGAGCAGGGGGGTCTCCCAGCAGCTGCAGTAGGGAGAGAAATGCGAACGGGCCGGGCCTGGGGCCTGCTCTGGGGTCGGAGGAGGCTGCCCTCGGCCCTTCCCGCCCGAGACGTGCAGAGGAGCGTGGAGGGCTGGGTGTAAGGAAGTACTAACTTTGCAGCCTAACACGGATGTAGATTGTGCAGCCCAGTTGTTTACCGTGCAGCCCAGTGGCCTCCCCTTAGGCGGTTCTTGGCAAACTAGGCCCCTCTAGCTTTATTGTCAGGCACAGGTTTTCTCTCTGCTTTTATTGGCAGAAGGGGTCCATAGGAGCTAAGATGTAGGTGCACCAGAGATCATATTTGTATTTGAAAGCTTGGCCGGTCCCTACCACCAAAGATGAGGCCAAATCACAAAATACAGTAGTTCCTTCCCTGGTAAAATCCATGCCATGTTATGTGACTTTAATAGAGGCTGACGTGTACATGGGATTCCTAAGCTAAATATTAGCTGCGTTTCTTTGGGGGTCCCCAGGATGGCATTCGCATACATGCTTTGGGCAGCAAAGACGTTTTTGCTATTAAATAATTAAGTAGGCATTTTACAGTAGTTTTCAATGTCACTTAAAAAATAGCACCCTAGTTTGTGGCCTAGATCCTTGGTAAAGCCTACAGGGCAAGGAAGTAGGCAAAGGTTCCTAGAAGATCTTAATCTTCCTTGAGATTAATCGGGACCAAAATAAAAATATTCCAGGTCATAAACCTGCAGCTTTTGTATGTAGTTTTCCCCAAGTCTCCTGAGACTTGTGCTTGTTTTCTATGCCACTGAAGCTGGATATTGTTCTGTTTTCATTGTTGTCAATGAGATAGATCAGAATTGTTGAATGACCATAGTTTGGATATGATAAATTGTAGTTGCGTTAATTACAGGCATTCCCCATCATTTTAATCTCATACCAGTGTTCCTCTTGTGCCTAACTGGGTTTTTGCTGTAGTGAGTTTTGGTAGGTATCTTTCTGTGAGTGTATAAGTTATTAACAGCCCATCTTTCTGTTGCCTCTTCATTTGGTCAGCTATGCTTGCATATTAATAGAGGTCTAAAAGAAGTGCAAGTGTTCCTTCTTTGAGAATGTTATGCAGCTACAGATTGAGTGGTGTGCATGAATTTTACAGGCCCTGTATAATACTGCCTGTTCTCCATCATGTCCCCTTTTTCTCGTGTAGGACACTTTTTTTACTTTTTCTGTAGCATCTATTCTTTTAACTCCAGGGAATGCTATTAAGTGAGATGTTGAGTTTGTTATGGTTTTTATGTGGTGGTAGGAGGCATCTTATCATTGGTGGCTTGAACAGATTGCTGTAAACTTTTAACAAAATACTGGGTAAATCCAGCCATGTTACTAGAAGTAATGGCCACAGACTCCTGGAAGATCGATTCAGGCTCAACATTAAGAAAAACTTCTTCACAGTCACTGTGGAATAAGCTCCCTCCAGAGGTGGTGCAATCACCTACCCTGGAAATCTTCAAGAGCAGACTAGACGGTCACCTTGCTGGGGTCACCTGACCCCAGCTGTCTTTCCTGCTTAGTGCAGTGATCCAGTAGCCATAATATTCAGTACATAATAAAGATCAGCTGGTAAGAGGGCCAAAGTATCCATGTTTGCATGCAATTTAAATGCATTACTGTAAAAGCTACAATGGGTTGTAAAATTCCCACTTGATGTGACACAGCATGTATTGTGATGATGATACCACATCTTCAGAGAAACGAGATGGCAATAACTTTGAAAATTAAAACTGATGCATTTTGAGGAGACAGAGGAGGAGTGTCAGACCCAAGAGGACCCCACCCCCATTTGGTTTGCTGTGGGTTTCCCACTAAAGACAGTATAACAGGAAATTCCTCTCGGTATGTCCATTTCATACTAAAAATTTATTTGGGAAGATAAAACCCCGTGGGAATCTTGCATCTGTGCTGTGGCTGACAGTGAAACTGCCATAGCTGTCAGAGTGAACATGCTGCAAAATACCTCTTAATTGGAAGTAAGAGCAGTACAGGGGCTGTTTGAACCTGTGGAACTTAACATGCAGAGAGGTGATGAGAGTGTTTCCCCTGCCCCCCATTGCCAATCTTTGCAGAATTATCATTTGCAACTTTCTTTTGCTACTCTGACATACAGCTTTTGCCCAACAGAGTACATGAGTCTGGAATTGTTGATTTGGCTTTTTTCAGGCTTGTATCTTGATGGGGTTGAAGTGGAAGCAAAGTTCAGCCTGTGAGGGTCATGCTGGGGAAATGGTAGCAGTTAATATGTGCACTTGGATGACTGAATCCTTCAACAAGGAAAAGATGTGTTAACTAAAGAAGTTCAGGGGAGAGACGTGCAGAAATGATAGGAACAAGAATGATGAAAATAAAGTCAGGGCTGAGGAGAAATGCATGAAATGTAGGTAGAATGAGGGAGAAACAAAGGGCTGGACCTCAGAAACGACCCTCTTCAAACCTAAAGTGTTTCAGATCTTATAACCTTACAGAATAGGAAAGTATTAAGAGTGACCCCCTTCCGCTCCCCCTGCTCCTTTCTGACAAACCCATGTTACAATGCCTCTGGGCTTTAGTAGCTCTAGCAGTTTAGAGGGTGGTTTACTGACTGGGAGTTGCTGATACGGAGTTGGAAACCTGTAAAAGAAGTAGTAATAGAAATGTAAGCGTTTCATTAATGCTTTACAGGTTTGGATCCTAGAACATTGGACGCAAATCTAATATTAGGTGGGGGTGGGGGCGTTGTTTCTTTTTCTTTTTTTTGCCACCTACACTGGAAGGTTTTTTTTGTTTTGTTTTTTCCCCACCACCTCCCACCCATTCCTAATACTTCTTATGGCCACGTTTAAAAGCAGTGGTTGAGTAGAAAGGTTATGAAAAGGAAGCATGTGCCCATAAAGCAGTGATAGGTACCCATTCGTGACTTTTATTGTTTTAAATTAATGGATAAATGTACCACAGAGGAAATGAAGGACTTACGGAGCTAGCCTGAGCTAATGTACTGCACGCAGACAAAAGCAAGATGCTTCTTTCCAAGTGTTCAGGCCAGGACAGTCCAATCCCACTTTCAAGTACCTCTTTATCTGTGCTTTGTGCTATGTGGATATTCAACATGGTGGGTAGGTCTGTCAGTTAATCCAGCTCTGCATTATTAGGGGTCCCTGTGCTGGCCTTATCATTGGCTATCTCTAATCATATTGTATGCTTTGTGAAAAAATGTCTGGTGTTGAGAACAGTAGAGAGCCCCACTGTACTTTACACCCTTCATCCAAGGGTCTTGTTGTATGCTACAAAGTTGGAAAATGTTTCTGTATTATTTATCCCTGTTCCACACATTGAAGCCTAGTCTCCCTTGGAGGTTAACTGATTTGCTCCAGTCTGCAGCAAGGAAGTGGCAGTGTTGAGCACAAAATGGATCAACTCTGCCTGCTACTGTAATCATCAGAACTGTTGTTTTTCAGAAATGTGCCCAGTTTAGAGGGCCACTTTCAAGTTATGTCACACTTTTGTCTGACTATTTTTCTGGTATAGTGACTGAACAGGAATTACCTAAAATAACTGAGTTTACAGACTGCAAATAATCTTTATTTTTAGTTTATTTATTTTACACATTATGCTAGCACTCTGTATACAGTCACTTTCAGTGTTTCCTCTTTTATTCTGTACTTATTGGCATAGATTCATAGATTGTAAGGCTGGAAGGGACCTTGGAAGATAATTGGGTCCAGCCCCCTGCACCAAGAAGGAAAGAGAACTGGGGGTCAGGTGACCCCAGCAAGGTGACTGTCCAGTCTCCTCTTGAAGATTTCCAGGGTAGGTGATAGCACCACCTCTGGAGGGAGCTTATTCCACAGTCTGGACACCCTGACTGTGAAGAAGTTTTCTTAATGTTGAGCCTGAATTGATCTTCCAGGAGTTTGTGGCCATTACTCCTGATTCTCCCCAAGGGTGCCCTGATGAGCAGTTGCTCACAGAGCCTTTGACTTATTC